ATTTTCATGAGTAAGCACGCAAACTAAGAGAAGTAACTCCGAGAAGTAAACTTCCTCCGGAAAATAAAGTTCCAGAAAGTAAAAAACATTCGAAAAGTAAAATTCAAGAAGTAAGATTAGAAAGTTAAGCTTATAGAAGTAAACTTTCCGAATAGTCACTTCGAGTAGTAAAATTAGCAGGGAAAAAGTGAAAAACAGCAAAGTAAAATCACTTTGCATTCATAATAATTTGCGTCCAAAAATAACTTAACTTTTCGAATATTGCAGTCATGAATTAACTTTTCGGATGCTTCAGGCATAAACTAACTTCTCGGATGCTTTAAGCATAAGCTAACTTCTCGGATGCTTGAAGCATGAGCTAACTACTCGGATACTTCATGCTTCAGGCATGAACTAACTCTTTTTTTTTTTTTGGCCCTGAATATATTTTCATGCATTGTTCAAAACATTATCATGACACCAATCATTTCTTCATCAATACCTCGTCATTTCATTATCAGCATTTATCGCAATATTTGCTTCAGGCAAATTAGCTAGAATCATCAAGATGAGGTTCATTCTCCAATGACCAAATGCTTTGGTGCCCGGCACGTAGGGATCAATGCCCTCCACACCCACATTGATATCAAACCTGCTTCTGGCTAGAATTTTGCCTCGATGAGTTTTGGTCGTCCTTGAATATCTTGATCACTTTGTTTCTTATTCTAATCTCGAAACTCATACCACACCGGTTATAATCTCGACCGCAACCCCTTATAAAGTTACTCAACTAGGTACATTATGTGCTTCAGGCACCTGTGCAAAATCAACCAGACATGCATTTTGATTCTTCATCAACAACTAGTTATGTTTCTTAGCCACAAGAAGTGTTAAAATCAGCTTAGGATGCTTCTCATAATTTGTTGTCTTGTACTACTGCTGGAGTACAAATTACTCACACGAAAAGTTGGCAATGTCTTTTCAATTAAATATTTATCTAAAACTTCTTGTTTAGAGTTTCACTTCTGAGACTATTTTGTGCAGAGCTGAATTATAGTCAGTTACTGACTTATAATCTTTAAACTTAAGATTAATCTAATCAAATTGTGTCTGAGGAACGACAATAGATGACTACTAGTCAAAATGGTCCTTCAGGGACTTACGTAATGCAATAGGGACTTTTTCAATCAAATACCCATTTTTAATATCGTGGTTCAAGTAGTGACGTATGAAAATGAGAGCTTGTGCTTTCTGGGCATCGGTTCTCTGTGACTTAGCAACAAAAGTTTGGCTCAATTTCTTAGATGTCAAATATATTCCAATATCCAAAGCCTAAGTGAAATAATTGCTATCGACATGAGCGAGCTCAATAAATTCACATTTCCAATGAAAGACATAATCTACAAGATCATCATTTGATGCAACTTTAGGAAGCAATGTGACAACTTGTGAAAAAAATCACTATTTTGAATACATGTTCAAGCAATGGATGAAGAAACACCTTTTACATAAATATCCATATCCGTTTCTTAGCATTCTAATACAAACACAACAATCCAATGCAAACATAATAAGGACCGATTATGCATTCGATCTCCATAATCATAGAACATACATGGATACATATACATACAATTTGGCATATAACCAAAATGTATTTACCATTTCTAAGCATCATGGTTCATATAGAGCCTATCTCATATACATGAATTGAGAGAATAAATAAAGATAATATGTATTTACCCAAATTCTTAACCATGTCTTGATGAGGGGTTCATCACTCAAAAGTTGTTAACAAACATGAAGAATTATCACCCATTTCATAGAAACAATAATTGAAGGTTCCAAACCAAACTCATAGCCACATATACACAAAAACAAAAATGGTGCAACACGAATCGGTGAGACAAACACCAAATTGATGCAGCAAGCATTGACTCGTGTTTATAGCGTCAACTCGTGCTACAAGCAACAAGACACGAATTGTTGCGGCAAACACCAAATTGATGCAGCAAGCATCAACTCGTGTTTATAGCATCAACTCGTGCTACAGGCAACGAGTGGTACGGTGCTTCACTCTCCAATACACCTAATTGATGCTCCCAAGTCATCAATTAAGCTTTAAAGTCTTACTCACTCTTAAGCTTCCACAAAATAAACTTTAACAATCTTAATTAAAAACCATTCATTCATTGCCTAATCAGGCATAAAAACGAATTGCTAATCACATGCAAACGACATATCATAAAAATATAATAATGCACTACAGCATATGGTATATAACATGCAAAGTATGCGAAATGAAAATAATATGTATACATATATTGCATCTTCATACGAAAAGTCACTTCTATTTACACAAACATATATATCACATGCTTTTCTTTCAATTTGAAGAATCAAAAATAAAATTGGAAATATATATTCAGGAATTTACACAATCATATATATACGAACTAGTATGTGCAATTCATATTTCAAATTGTAGAATCAATATGTATCATATCAATCATGCATTTCATAATCATATCAAGAGGTGTAGAATCAACATGTGCCATATAAAAACATGTATTATATGAAACCTATGAACATGCTTGCCTAGTATAAAAACATGTATTATAACATGTCCGAGCATACCATTCAACGAGGAATATGTTGGCGATTCGTGCTGATAACGTGTTGTAATTTGGCCTATCAACTTGTTAGTTCTCGCGTGATGATTACACGGTAATTACCCGGAGATTATATATAAGATTATAAAGTGTAGAGATGTAAGAAGAGAAGAATGACACAAGATGTAGAACACAAACATGAGCACATTATTTCGTTAAGCCTTCACATGTATTTATACTAATTAATCCATACAACCCTTTATATGCTTAACATAAACAATATATTAAGTAGAAGGAAAATGGAGAGTCTCAAGATTAATGGCCACTAATAAAATATTTATAACAAGTTTTATTTTTTTTAGTTACTGTCGACGTACAACTAATCTAATTAAAGTTTATTTTAAAATATAATTGAGGGCATTTTTTTTTAATTTATAAAAAATTTATTATTAATAAAAAACGTAAAAATACTATCTTTGTTTTCCATTTCTCCTGCGCATTGTTCAAAAAAATACATTTTCTCCCAACAAAAACTCTGTAACAAAAGTAACGAACAAAATGCTATTGTTTTGATAAATTTTGACATATTTTTTAACGGAATAGTGTCAAGAAGATTAAAAAAGAAAAAAAAAAAAAAAGAGACAAAAATAAGGTCATGCACCTAAAGTGACAAAAAAAAAAAAGTTTTATAGCCAAAAAATATCATTAATATAGAAAATTCTAAAATTTTAACATTGCGTTTGCTGCCTATTAATAAATAAAAATATTTCCTCATCTCGCCTAATTTTTCAAAGTAGTATGTTTTACGCTCATCTAGTTGGACCGCTTTAACAATATATACAAGTAGGACCAAATTTCTTATAGTATTTTTTTCAACGTTTTTCTCAATTGTTACTCGCTATTCAATTGTTATATCGTGCACCAGGACGCACAATGCATTGTGCGCTCTAAAAATCATCTATTTCATATTTACATAATTGTATAATAGAATAGACATAAACTTCTAATATAATACACATAATCTTTTAACATAATACATAATACATAAACTCTTAACATATATAATACACATGAATTCTTAACGTAATACACATGACTCTTAATGTAATACACATAAATTCTTAGGGTGCACGATATAATTTGCCCTCCCTATTAGATATTTCATGTCTAGTACTCTTAGTAGTTTGAAGCGTGAAATCGATGTCACATCTACAGATTAAGGAAGGTAAAGACGGTAGAGTGTAAGGAATGTAATTTGTTAATACAAACATCTTGGTCTAATACAAATCCAACGACAAGATTTTTTAAAGTCCAAGAACAGCATCATTTTCAATAATTATTCACTTTGAGCTTCTCTCAAGCACAAGCCTGGAATTTATATCGTGCATCAGGGCGCACATTGCATTGTCCGCCTTGGTGCAAACTGACGTTGTTTTTTACCTTTTTTTAAATAAAAAAAAAAATTGATTTTCATGTCGACTGTTAACTTCTTACCAAAAAAATTTCATGTTTCAAAAATGTACATAATTGTATAACAGAATGTACATAATACTCTCTTCCACCACATCCAATTCTTCCTCTTTGTTGTTTACACGTTTTGTTTTGTCTGCAATTGATAAATTAAGTAAAAATGAAAAAAGGTGAACACGCAGCAGTTAAATGGGTAAGGAAATATGAGATAGAAGTGAGCTGAGAGGAAACCGATCATATATGATGGGCATGAAGAATTCAAGTAGCATGCAATTGAAGTAAGTGCATATAATGTTAAATGGTCACACAAAAGATAAACTAGGAAAATTCCTATGTTGTAATATAGTATGTGGGTCAAACAATACAACTTCATTTGATTTATAGTTTAAAAAAAAAAAAAATCAGTTCTGAGAAGCAAAAACCATTTCAGCTCACCATAATGGTACATGCTGCAACACAGTGAGTAATCCAACAAAATAACCACAGAATAAACCCACAACAAGTACAGTAAAGTACAAAAAGCAGTGGCTCCTGCTATGCTACCCCAACATCATCACTCAAGAACACGACACAACATCATCTCTGCTTAGCTTTGTGGCTCTTAACTTTTTATCGCCTCCCAATCTTTGTAGTTGTCTGTATGTGTTTAAGAATTAGATGTTAAGATTAAGATTAAAAGCATGCATTTAGTTTGTTTGGTCATTATTATATATAAAACTAGAGTAGAGTAGAGTAGAAACAAAACAAAATAAACAGGCCGAACAGATCGACTTATTTAAGTACGTACCCTACCCTTATTCATTCGTCAATCTCTACCTTCCCCTTCATCACATCCTTAATTCCCTTGAGACAACTCATATGGACGCTGGAAACAATAAATTAAGGGTTATTAAAAAAATAAAAAAGCAAGTGGACACATTTATATTGGTAAGGAAATATGAGAAAGAGAAAAATGAGAGAAAGCATGCACATAACTATTATTGATTGCAGAGGAATTGCAAAGAATTTAAATAGCATGAAATGTGAAACTGTCAGAGATATAATGGAGACAGGGATAGAAAGAGACCCGAATATTTTTGGAACGAACAAGGAGGGCTTCATTTCCATAGCTTCGCTGCTCATCTTGAATACAATTTGCGGAAGACAGGACAGAATGCGAACATCTATTTAATTGAATCAATGCAAGTGTGGAGATATCAGCAAATTCAATAGGGATCTCTCGCAACTTAAGGCAACTAGTTAACTCTAAATGTTCAAGCATAGGGAAATCGTCACCCACAGCATTCCAATCTTTCAAACTCCTGCCTTCAATTACCAACTTTTTTAACTCACGGAATCCTCCCTCAGATGTCTCCCACTCATTGCCTACACAAGCATCTATCAATTTTAGAACTTTTAAATTCGGCAACATACCAATAAGCCTCATATCACTCCATGGCAATCTAGTATTGATTAATTTGAGCTTCTTAAGATTTGGTAGAAAGCTAGTTGCCCATGGGATGCCGCTATCCTGAAGTTTGAGATACCACCGATTGATGCTTAGTTTCTCAAGCTGACCCAAGTGCACAAAATTATAGAAACCATCTGAATTATGATTTTGAGAATTCATTTCACCTTGAATCCCCAATTTTTTTAAATTTGGAGTCTTTGTAAAAAAATCCTCTGTACAACACTCCGAATGCAACCAAAATATAGTCTCTATATTTCTATGAACAACCTCCGGAGCCTCTAATGTAAAAGCAATTAGGCCCGCATAAAAATCCCTTAAAAGTGGCATTTTCCAAATTCCAGATGCCTCAAAGGGAACAAATGTAACACTACGTCCACGGACAATAAAACTTTGCATATTCCAATTCTCAAAGAGCTCTAGTTTAATAGGGAGTATCCTAAAACTTAGGGATAAAGCAAAGTATCTCAAGTGAACAAGATTTGCCATACATATCATATTATTATCACTGCACCTGCCTGTAAGTTCCATGTCTACTACTCTTAATAGTTTAAAGTGACAAAGCAGCATATTGCTGAAATCAACATGATTAACACAGTGTAAGGAATGTAATTTGTCAAAGCACTTAGATCTAATTGGAATATTGTAACATCCAGGTTTAATACTTATCCAATGACAAGCTTCTGAAAACAAGTGTTCTGATCCAGCAACAGCTAGGGATGTCAAATGGGCCAACCCGTTGAGTTTTGGACTAGCCCTACAGGGTTGGTGGACTTGTTGGCTTGGGCTAAAATGGTTTTTTATTTTTTATTTTTGAGTTGGGTTGGCCCTAACCCTAAACAACGGGTTGTTGGTTAATCCAACGGGCTAAATCACTAAACAATTTTTTTATTACAAATAAAGTAGGTTCATAACTATATATATATATATATATATATATATATACACACACTACACGCACTATATATATATATATATATATATATAGTGTGTTTATATATACTACACACGCAGTGTGTGTGTACTGTGTGTGTAGTATATATATATATATAGAGTGTGTGTGTGTGTGTACAGTGTGTGTGTATATATATATAGTGCGTGTGTAGTGTGTGTGTGTATATATATACATATACATATATATATATATACATATACATATATATATATATATATATATATATATATATATATATATAGAGTGTGTGTGTGTGTACAGTGTGTGTGTATATATATATATAGTGCGTGTGTAGTGTGTGTGTGTATATATATACATATACATACATATATATATATATATATATATATATATATAGTGTGTGTGTGTGTACAGTGTGTATATATATATAGTGTGTGTGTAGTATATTTATTGTGTGTATAGAGTACAGTGTACAGTGTACAGTGTGTATATATATATAGTGTGTGTGTAGTATATATATTGTGTGTACAGTGTGTGTGTGTATATATAGTGTGTGTGTGGTATATATATTGTGTGTACAGTGTGTGTGTACAGTGTGTATATATATATAGTGTGTGTGTAGTATATTTATTGTGTGTATAGAGTACAGTGTACAGTGTGTGTGTACAGTATATATATATATATATATATATATATATATATATATATATATATATATATAGTGTGTGTGTGTGTGTACAGTCTGTGTGTAGTGTACATATAATGTGTGTAATGTATAAAAGTACATTATTTCATATATACTATCAAATAATGTACCTTCAATATACAAATAATGTACAATTAATATATTAAAAATGTACCTTATATTCATGGTCCACACAAGTTGTATAGACTATGGTCCATCCAATAATCATTGAATATTATACGGGCCAGCTCAACAATCCATGAGTTGGCCCAACTCAATCCAATAACCCAATAGGGCCAACCCAATGAGCTTACTTTCTTATTGGATTGATCTTTTTGGATTTTAGCCCTGCAATTTTTAGGGCTTAATGGGCCAGCCCATTGGTTCAGGGCTAAATTGACATCCCTAGCAACAGCACCATGATAATCATTTCCAATAACATACAAGAGATTTTCACATCGAGCTTCTCTTATGCACAAGTCTCGCAAGAGATCATGCATCCTAATTGTCTTGATTTTGCCATCATAACTCTGTTTACCAACTAGAACAAGACTTCTATCAACAAGATCTTGCAAGCATTCCGTGGCCACTTCCTCCAGATTCTCATTGTTCACTGCCCCCAAAAATCCCTCTGCTGCCCACAACTTAACTAACTTCTTTACAGGGATTTCATAATCTTCTGGAAAAACTCCAAAATATAGAAAGCAAGCTTTAGAGGGGTGTGGTAATTGGTTGTAACTCAAAGATAGCACACTTGAACATGCTTCATTAGAATCACCAATTACACGTTCTGCAACATTCTTCCACTTTTCCACCTTCTTCTTTGTCTTGGAGAGAAGACTAGCCACTAAAGTAATAGCTAGAGGTAATCCTTTACATTTCTTCACTATGTCTCTACCAATTTGGTCAAACACCGAATTTTTTTCTGTTTTACCAAACACACAGCAATAGAGATTCCAACTTTCATTGACATCTAAGAAGGGCATGTTAATGATAGAGTTACCTGAACTAGCAGCATATTCAGCCACCTCTCTGAGCCGAGAAGTCAGTAGTATACGGCTTCCATTGTTATTATTATTATCTGGAAAGCACCTTCGCAGACTATCCCAAGCTTCTTTGCTCCATATATCATCTATCAGTATCAAATATCTCTGACCCTTCAAGCTTTTCTGCAGACTGTCTGCTAATTGGCCTAGATCATTGTTGCTTTGTTCATCATCACTTGATGCACTAACACAACCAATAAGGCATCTGAGCATTTGCACCACGGTATACTCTTGGGATACAGTAACCCATTCTTGCTTGTAAAAGTAAGAGGTAATTGATGGATCCTTGTAGACTTTTCCAGCTAAAGTGGTCTTGCCTATTCCTCCCATGCCAACAATGGATACAACTTGGAGCTGCTCAGCTGATTGTTGCTTGAGCTTATCCAATATCGTCTTGAATTCCTTGTCGCATCCAACCATTCTACTATCAAACTTTATTGAAGCGTTTTTGGAAAATTTACTCAAAGTAATATTATTCTCGCGTTCTGGATCAGGCTGTGATGATGTAGAACCAAGGAGTAGTCCTCTTCGTCGCATCATTTCATCTTGTGATGGACCATTTACTAGCTGCTTTTCACTAATTTTAATAAACTCCTTCTTGAGGTAATCAGTCTGTTTTTCTGCTTCAATGAAGATTCCACGAAGCCTTTGGAGGGAAGCCTTTATACGAATACTCTTCGTCAAACCCTTTGCTAGATAAATGGTAGTCAACTCCATCTCAATCCTTTCTTCAGCTTTGAACGTTACATCTCTCATCTCTGCCTCTAAATCTTTCATCGCCGAATTATTATAGGCAATCTCAGATTTCTCAAGAACTTCTTGGAAGAAACCAAGATTTTCATGGAGAGAATTAAGTATCTCTTGGTTGTGTTGAAGAGGCAAGCGTGGTTGTGGTTGCAAGAAGTGTAGATGGAGTGTTCCTTTAAGCGAAGTTACAGCAGCATAAGCCATTTGCGTCTGTGTATGCGGTATGCTGATCGATGATGAGAGCAGAACTAACTAAGAAGAAATGAAAGATGCATTACAGTTTAAACAACCCTATGATTCTAAAATTATATTAGCGGTAGTGGGTTTGCAGTTTGTTTTTCTTTTTTCTCAGATAATTTAATATCAAATATTTCTACCCTATCACAATTGGCAAATTATATCATGGACTAGGGTTTATCTTGCATTGTAGACCCTGATCCAAAAATAACCTTCAGGTTTTGTATCTATTGACACATTTTGTACCTACAATTGATAGTGTCTATACATGTAGCTATCATATTCAATCATTATTGTGTGAACCATGGTTCATACATGTTGTGCGGGCCATATTTTGTATACTATAAAATAATGTATATTCAGTACAAAAATAATGTACATTCAACACAAAAAAAATGTACATTAGGATGTAGATTATTTTTATACTGAGTGTACATTATATTGTATAATGTACATTCAATACAAAAATAATGTACATTTAGTATATTAAAAATGTACTTTTTGTTATGGTCTATATAACACTGTGTGGACCATGGTCCACACAATAATTTGCTCTATCATATTATGTGTCAACAATTATCAAGTCAGATTTTGTATCTATATTTCACACATTCTATACCTGTAATTAATAGTTTCTGTACCTGTAGCTATCATATTATGTGTCAGCAATTATCAAAGTTATTTATTTACATGTACAGAAAGTGTTAACTGTAGGTACATAATATGTTAACTAAAGGTACAAAATTTTTGTATTAGGATTCACAATGCAATTTAAACTTGGTTCATGGTATAACAATTTATCACAATTATGTCCAATTATTTTAATTAAGATTACAAATAATTAAACTCTTTTGATTTATACGAGGAAACGAAGGGATAGATTGGAGAAGCTAGGCACTCTCTCTCTAGCAAAGACTAGGGTTTCGGCTTTCTCTCTAGGGCAACCCTAGGATTTTTTTACGCTTTTCCGGTGGTTTTCTACGACGTTTCCACGTCGTCTGTTCGAGTGAGACGCGGCAGCGACGAGGCAGTGTGGGTGTAAGGTTATGGCGGAGGCAGGCAGCGAGGTTGAGCGTTTGACGGAGAGATGGGGCGATCTGGGGTTGGAGGACGAGCACGACGAGTTTGTGCTGGAGGGGGAGAGTGTTGGCGAGCTGCATGACAACGACGAGGAGACGTGGGCGGTCGTCGGCCGTTTTCTAACGACTAAGTTGGTCAAGTTGGAGTTCATGAAGCAGGTCATGGCGTCCGTATGGCAACCGGTGAGAGGTGTACAGGTAACAGAGATCCAACCGGGGTTGTTTTTGTTTGTCTTTTATCATAGGACAGACATTGATTATGTATTGGATGGGGGACCATGGGGTTTCGAGAATAATACCTTGGTCTGCCGGGAGGTGGTGGCGGGAGCCGTGCCTGGGGAGGTGGAATTGAGGTCGGTTGATATGTGGGTTCAATTACATGGTTTGCCTATGGGGTATACGTCGGACACGGTGCTTGAACACACTGGAAATTTCATAGGCACGTTTGTGAAGCATGATGAGAGGTTTACGGGAGCCCCATGGCTAACGTTTTATCGGGTCCGAGTGTCTATTGCGGTTGGCAAACCGTTAAGGCGTGGCATGAAGTTAGTAAAATGGGATAAGACGGTGTGCAGGATAACCTTTCGGTATGAACGTTTACACAAACACTGTTCGTTTTGTGGCATGATGGGTCACGTCCATATGTTTTGTCTGAAGGCACGGGAGAGACCGACACCAATCGAGATGCATCCCTTTGCGGGGTTGCGGGCTGGGGGTAATCGGGGTGCGCCAAGGGCGGTGGGGGAGAACTGGCTAGTGCCGGTTGGGGGAAGGCCGAAGCCGTTGGTGAGGGAGGTGAGGGGTGATGAGGCGGGTGGTGGTGCATGGGGGCGGGAAGAGGGAGAAGCGGGAGGGGCAGTTTAGCGGATGGGGTTGAGACGGGGGAGGAGGGAGTGGTGGCAAATTCAAAACGCCGCCGGGGGCAACGTGTGGAGTGGAGGGCAGGGTTCAGAAGATGTGGCTATGACCGATGTGTCAAAAAACTTGCGAGCGGCGGGAACTGGAGCCCAGTCCCGCCCGTCATTATGAGTACGATAAGTTAGAACTGTCGTGGCTTGGGCAATCCACGAACAGTTCGAGAGATTGTGGGCCTTGTGTCCGGTAAGAAGCCAGATTTTGTATTTTTAATGGAGACAATGGTGGAGCAGGAGCATGCGGAGAAGCTCCGTGTGAGGTTAGGGTACGAAGGGTTTTTTTGTGTGGATAATGTGAGGAATGGTGGGGGTCTGGCTTTGCTTTGGAGGAAGAATAATACGGCTACACTCCTGAGCTATTCTAAGAACCACGTGGATATTGAGGTACGAATGCCATCAGGGGAGGTGTGGCGTATGACATGTTTCTATGGTTTCCCAAAGCGTAATCAAAGGCGGGACTCGTGGGAGTTACTTAAGTCACTGGATGGGAGGTATCCGCTTCCATGGGGGTTGTAATAGGGGATTTCAATGATCTCCTATTCCAACACGAGAAAAGAGGGAACAACCCACATCCGGAGAGCTTTCTCCGGGGTTTTAGCGAAGTTGTGGATGAGTGTGGATTACGACAGCTGCCTATGAGAGGGTACCAGTATACATGGGAAAAAGCCAGTGGTACGGATCGCTAGCTAGAGGAGAGACTTGACAAGGTGTTGGCGACAATGGATTGGTGTGATGTGAATGGAAGGGCTAGTGTTGAGAATATTCTTACTCGTAATTCAGACCATTCAGCTCTGTTTCTTGATATTAATGCACACAACAGGGGAATGAATAGGGTCCCAAGGGGCTTCAGGTTTGAGATGGCATGGCTGCTAGATGAGGGGTGTAGGGAGGTGGTGGAGACTGCCTGGAATGATGGCAGGGCAGAGGGGTTGCTGAATTGTCAGCAACGGTGTGGGGTTAGACTGATGCGTTGGGGAGGGGACCATTTCCATAAGTTTGGGGAACAAATCCGGCAGCTGCGAAAGGATCAGGGGCGGATCCGTGGTAGGAGGGATCCGGCTGCTTTGGCTGAATTCCAGCTCTTAAACAATCAAATCTCTCAGTTGGAAGCCCAGGAAGATGTATTTTGGAGGCAGAGAGCGAAGCAGCATTGGCTGCGTGGGGCTGATGCAAACACGAAGTTCTACCACAGGTATGCCTCTGCTAGAAAGAAAAAGAACTTTATTACTAAACTGATGAATGATGATGTGGTATGGGTGGAGGGGCAAGATATGAACAATGTTGTTATAAATTATTTCAATATGATCTTTGCCACTAGTAATTCTGTGTGTGAGGATCCACTTTTTGATGAGTTTGTGCCCCGAGTGACGACTGACCAGAATGATGCACTGCTGTGTCCCTATGATATGGCTGAGGTTAAAACTGCTTTGTTTGCCATGTTCCCTGACAAGGCACCGGGCCTGGATGGAATGAATCCGGGCTTTTATCAGCAGTTTTGGAATGTAGTGGGAGAAGATGTGTCTGCTTTTGTTGTTAACTGTTTGAATACAGGTGATTTCCCCCTGGTTTAAATGCCACCAATATTATTTTGATCCCAAAGAAAAATGACCCTCAGACTGTGGCGGATTTGAGGCCTATTGCCCTGGGCAATGTTTTGTATAGGGTTATGGCGAAAATGATTACTAACAGATTGAAGCCGCTAATGGAGGATTTGATCTCAGAATCCCAAAGTGCGTTCATCTCGGGCTGCCTTATAACGGATAATATATTAGTGGTGGCTGAGGTGGGCCACTTCCTGAACCGTAAACAGGGTGGGGAGCACTTAAGCTGGACATGGAAAAAGCTTATGATAGAATGGAATGGCCACTCCAGAAAAGGATTATGGAGGTTATGGGTTTTGATGAGCGATGGATTAAGCTAATAATGACATGTGTTACCCCAGTATCGTATGATGTTATGGTGAATGGTGTGAGTGGTGGCCGAGTGCAACCAACAAGGGGCCTCAGACAGGGAAATCCACTTTCTCCTTTCTTGTTTATTATTTGTGCTGAGGGATTATCCATGCTTTTGCAGAAGGCGCAGACAATAGGATCTATTCATGGATGTAGGGTGGCTCGGGGGGCCCCTCCTATATCGCATCTTTTCTTTGTTGATGATAGTTTGTTGTTCTTTAGAGCAAATATTCAAGAGGCTACAGTGGTTAAACAGTGTCTGGAGAGATATGGGGAATTATCTGGTCAGTTGGTAAACTATCATAAATCCAACATCTGCTATTGTAAGAATACTGGGGAGGGAATGAGAGAGGAGGTTGCTGCGTGTTTGGGTGTGGAACAGGCACGGAATTTTAGGAAATATCTGGGACTACCTTCTTTTGTAGGAAGGAATAAAAGAGCTGTTTTCTCATATGTGGAAGACAAAATCAGGCAGAGAATTTTTTCATGGAATAAAAAATTGCTATCACAGGCTGGCAAAGAGGTGCTCTTGAAAAGTGTGGCCCAATCTATGCCAACATTTTCAATGAGTGTTTTTTTGCTCCCTGATTCAGTCTGTGAGTCCATTCAGAGGACCATGAACAGGTACTGGTGGGGGAAGGGCCCAGACAGAGGAATTCATTGGAAGGCATGGGATAAGTTGTGTGTCCCCATGAAGTTTGGTGGGTTGGGTTTTAAGGATCTGAGGGCATTCAACATTGCGATGTTGGGAAAACAGGCATGGCGATTTCTTACTGATCCGGGATCCCTGGCAGCAAGAGTGTATAAAGCACGGTATTATCCTAAAACCTCTTTTGTTGATGCAACAGTGGGAAATAATCCCAGTTTTTGTTGGCGGAGTATTATGGCTGCTCGTAATCTTGTTTGTGCTGGTGTCCGAAGAAGAATTGGAAATGGCGAGAAAACACTTATCTGGGGACACACGTGGTTGCAGGATAATCCTAGTCCGCTTGTTCAAATAGTAATGCCTAAGCCGTTACGGAATGCAGTAGTCGCAGGCTTAATAGATCCGCAGACAAAAAAGTGGGATCCTCATATTTTGTCTGATCTTTTTGAACGAGAAGATGTGAACCGTATTATTAAAATACCTGTCAGTCCTGATTATGAGGATACATGGTATTGGCATAATGACCCAAACGGCCGATACACTGTTAAAAATGCTTATAGGCGCCTAATGGGGGAGTTTAATCATACTACGAGGGATTTTGATAAATGGGTAACATTGTGGAAGATTAGAGTCCCACCCAAGTGGAAAACTTTTTTGTGGAGAGCGGTTTGTGATATTCTCCCAACCACAACAAATTTAATTATAAAGAGAGTTGATGTGGACCCAACATGCATGTTGTGTGGACTCACCCATGAAAATGTTATGCATTCACTAGTTTTATGTGATTATTCTAGAGCCGTATGGAATATTTCGGGGCTGCCCATTATGAATATTATTTCTTCTTCTTTTTCGAACTGGCTTATGATTGCTATGGATATGCTCACAGGCGAACAAGTCAGGCGTCTTGTGGGGTCCTCTATTATTTATGGATGGCCAGAAACGAGGCTGTATGGGATCACGCGATGAGGAGGCCAGACACTATCTGGCGCCGTGCAGCCGCGGGGGAGGCAAGCTACACGGCGGTGAATGCTCCCACGGTACAAGCGCCCTCCGACGATGCGTTGGTGGCGGCGAGCTTGCGGATGAAGTGCCACTTCGATGCTGGTTACAATCTGGCAACCAGTCAGGCCACTTACGGGGCAGTCTTGCTCAATCACGATGGTATGTTCAGAGCTGCGACCAATGGAAAACTACCGGGGTGTTTTTCCCCTCTTATGGCGGAAGCACTAGCATGCAAGGAAGTCTTGTCCTGGCTTAAGGACCGAAATGAGGTCGAGGTGGATATTCTTACGGATTGCCTCGTATTGAAGAATGCTGTTCGCTCAATAGCTACGCCGAATCTATCTTATGTTGGAATTGTGGTAGATCAATGTAGGATAGCTATCAATAGTTTCAATTACTGTTCGCTCAGTTTTATTACTAGAACCTTAAATTTACATGCGCATGCTCTCGCTAGATTAGCCTATGATCAGGATCACTCTATATTGGGATTTAATCCCTCCTGGCTCTATCGTTCAGTTTTTTATTTAATATATTGGTTACGCCATTTTTCAAAAAAAAAACAAAAAAACTCTTTTGATTTATTTATATATTAGTTAATTTTGTGGTTATATGTAATATTTAAATATAATTATACATAGGAGAAATATAATTACATTTTTGGTTGTAGATCGGAGTTATACTCTAAGTATAGATTCTTTGACCTCTAAATTTTGACAAAACTGATGTTTTTAGTCCCTCATAGAATGAAGCTTCTAACAATGTTAAGCACACTACATTGAGAGTGCATTTGGATTTGGTTCAAACATTAGAATCGGAATGTTAGTAGGAATCAAATATTTAGTAACGGTTGAAAAAGTAGTTATGAACAAAAACTGCATTGTAATAGAGTTAATAGTATTCAAAAAAATATTTAGTAATGGTAATGTGTTTAAGTAGGATTCTATGTGTTTGGTAATAAATAGAAATTGAAATTAAAATAATGTTATACTTCAAAGCACCAGTCCAAAAAGACTTTTAACTAGCAATTGCGTAATGACTCTAAGTGAAATAATTGCAATACCGAAGCATTATATTTTTAATTGCAAAATGGCAGCATTATATTGGCTTTTAGTACTTTATATTAAAATTTATGTGACTTTCTGTAACTTGTAATACTAATTGCGAGTAATATGGAATTAAATATTAAAGGAAGATAATGGCAATATGAGACGAAATTGCATGTTTAATGTTAAGTGGGAATCTTACAGCTCAAATCTGTCCTCTCTCTCTCTCTCTCTTTCTCTGTGTGTTTTGTGTTTATCAAGGGCAACTCCAACTGGATCCAAAATAGGAACAACTAATTAGGTTAAT